AGGTTCCCTCTTGAAAGCTTGTAAGCCAATCACTTCTTGCCTTTGTAGTCGCCCCCTCCCCATTTGAGTATCCAGTGTCCAAGCTGCCCTTCTACATCCACTCTGTGTGTGTGTGTGTGGGGATGTGTATGAATGTTTCTTGCTGTGAGGATTTGTTCCTTCTTTTGAGTTGCTGCTCCATAGGTATAGGTCAAGTTCATCAGACCATATCAGCTCACTCTTTTTTTTTTTTTTTCCCCATCTTCTTTCCTCTCCTGGTTGAGCTCCAATCATCCAGTCATCCAGTTCAGGTCACGTGGGTATCATCTGCAAGTGCGGGCGCTCCTGTGCATATGTCCTCTCTTCTCGTGAGCCAGTAGCTCCGCTCTCCTCTCGAGTCCTCCGTGGCCATGCCACTGACTCTGGGACCAAGAGTCCCCAGGCCTCTTCACACTGCTTGCCAACCAGGTCCCCAACCGGGTCCACAGAAGTCCACTGAACATTGTAGGGCTTAGCTTGTCGCTTCATTGCTGCTTTTACCCCATTTTCCCCCCATCGGTGATGTGTGTGGTCACCAATCAGAGCGTGCATTTCCGTTGAGTCTTAGTCTTGGAAGGGGGTTTGCGTTGAGAGGACATGGCCACTTGCCTTGATGTTTTCTAGGGAAGCGATTCGTTTGTTCTTGTAGTAACAGTCCATCTGCCTCCATTTTTCCTGCAGGTCTTTCTTTCAAGAGGTATCTTTTATTCTTGTAGCCACTCCAGGCTGGTCTGCTCATCTTTTCAAGTGGAGATTTCGCATCTCTGGAGATCTGGATGTGGTTCCGGTTTCTACCTATAGTTTTATGTATTGCAAAGGCTCCGGGTACACTGTAGCCCCATTTTAGGAATTCCAATCAGTCATAGGCAGAAGACAGACTTACAAGCCTTCTAGTGTGGTGTTTCTGACTATTCCTTTCTCTCCCTCTCCAGTGTCTGCTCTACATTATAATGCAAGGGAAACCAAGATTAAAACAAATAAACAAACAAAAAACAGTCAAGCATCTTAACATGATCCCCTCCCCCCACCATTCCAACCATGACTTAATCCCTGTATCTCAGAGCTCTGCTGTTCCAAGGCTGTGCATATATCATCCTTTATCTCTGTCCCATTTAGCCCTTTCGAACATGCCCAATTGTTCTCCCATCTGCCCAATTTCTCCACTTCCCTCTCGCTCCCTTTATATTGCCCCCCTCCCTAGCACCCAAGCTCTCCTGTGTCCAATCCTCACCCTGTGCCCCACCTTCCCCCCTTACCCCACCCACTACCAACTTCCCAACAACCAACAAAGACTTCTCCCTACCCCCTTTAGTATAATTTCTTTTTCTTAGTCTTTTACAGTAGTGGTCCTATGCAGTATTTCTATTTTTGTCACTCAGCATAATGTCCTCAAGGTTCATCCATGTTATGCGGTGGGTTACCGCTTCCTTGTTATTCTCCAAGGTAGCATAATATTCCATTGTGTGTATGTACCACAGTTTGTTTATCCATTCTTCAGTTGATGGGC